ATCTGATTTTTGAATTTGGATCTTGAAAAGTAGGGCTCCATGTAATTTCCACTTATTTTTTTCATTCTCATTCTTCTACTCATTTTCAACCACACATTTTTCAATAAAATAATATTTTCCATCACATCAATATTTTTTCCTTCTTTTTCAACCACATATTCCCCATCACATCATAAAAAAATGCATTCTTAGTTTCATAATGTGCACCAAACAGATCCTTAGTAAATTTTGATAAAATTTGATGAAATGTGCGGATGAAACTTTGTAGGTCCCACGAAATGTTTAGTTAAAATAACTGTTGACTTTGACTTAAATTTTAGGATCTTACTACGTGTACATAATAGTTTACATAAGTGATTGCGTAATGCCACATGACACTATACAATTTATCAGTTTAAAACACGATCAACTATTTCATCCAATATTTTCCTTCCACATCATTTTATGTAATTCATTATGTGCCATTTTTATGTATAAGTAGTATAATCTTAAATTTTAATGTAACTTTTTAGTTGAACTAGATAGAAGCTAAACATTTTTATCAGTTGAGAGATGATAAGTCGATCAGTGATGAAAATGTGAAATTGAAAACTATATAAATAAGACTGTGTTTGGTAGGGATTTTCATCTAAGCCAAAGTTAATAATTAAGAGTCTGTTTGAACCTTATTTTTATTATAAAATGCATTTTGTAATAGTAGATTGATGAAAAATATGTGGTTAAAAATGAAAGAAAAATTTTTGGGTTGCGTATAATATTATTTTGTTGAAAAATATGTGGTTGAAAAGAAGCGAGACGGAAATATATTTTGAAAAAAAATGGAGATAAAAAAGGGCTAATTTTTATAATATATTTTGTGGGACCATAATTTTTTAATAACACATTTTATTAATTTTTATCTGAATTCACTAAAAATCTGATTTCAATATCCAGGACTGAAATGAGACAAATTAATGAATTGTCAACTATTGATATTTATTCTGAATGTTCAATGACCTCAAACAAGAATTTCAAAGTTTGGTTCGTCCATGCAATGTTTCATCCTCGTAGTCGTCGAGCTAACCATGGAAATTTATAATCATAAATTGATGGATTCACGCAAATATAATCGTACGCACATGCCGTGTCTTGCATATAAAGACAGACCAACATGTATAGTCTTTTAGTAGTGGAAATTACACTACTCTCCTTTCAGTCCCGGTTGTGCTAAAAATTAAATTTTTATTAAGTTTAAATAAAAATTGATAAAATATGTGGTTAAAAAATTTATTGAAGTTACGTGTTCCATGAAATGTGTAATTAAAAATAAATTTGAGAAGAATGAAGGCCGAACGTAGATAAGTTAAAATTTTGATCCAAAACTTCAAGCTACTATTAAGTCCCCGTTTGTTATCCCTTAAAATTTTAAATTGTTTGCTGCAATACCATTCTTCACCACACGTTCACGCAATAAAATATTTTACACACAAACTAATAAAATTTTCTTACTTTTTAACTACACATTCTTCATCGATCTACTATTTTATAATATATTACAAGAAATTAATAGCTCTCAAATAGGGCCAATACTACTTGATGGATGCCATTGAGTTATTTTGATTGCATTTTTTTTCGATGCATATTTGGTTGTATTTTTATTACTATAATAAAAAGTAAAACTATTACGGATATATAAGTTAAGATAAGATGAAATAATGTTCGATCTAGTTTCAAATATAACCAATTTTTAAAAAACGAGATCATGCTATACCAAAAATATAATCATTTAAATACTGCTACAAAATTTATGAACCTCTGTTTCTTTAGAAATAAGAAAATGAAACCAATCAGAAGTGCAAATCGCGCAAGCGAAGTAGGAAAACTGGACCGTAGCGCAACGTAACGACTAGGACTCGTGTCGAAGGAGTTTTGAGCATGAGCTACCACCACGAATGGGAAAAAAAAAAGGGAGTTTAAAACTTTAGAATACAATAGTATAAAAGGGTAAACTTGTAAGTGCATGGGTTGAAGGGGGAACCTGTTGTGGGAAACAAACATTTGTGGAGGTTTATGTAAGTTTTGGAAAAGTAGGGGTGTCTTGATTTTCTCTTATAGATAACACAGTTAATAGAGTTCTGCCATTTGTATTTTGTGAGCCAATAGTTGATTGAGAAGGCTAACCAAATACAGAATTACTCTCAGAAGCTGATTAAGCAGCAGATTTTCTGGAAATACTCAGAGATTAGCGGGAGATTTTCTCTGCGATTGTTAGTGATTGTGGAATGATGTTGATACAAGAAGGGAAAGAGGAACTAGAAGATATTAAGCAACGGGAGAAGAAGGGAATGCGACTGGGCAAATACGAATTTGGAAGGACTCTTGGAGAAGGCAATTTTGGAAAAGTTAAGTACGCAAAAATCGTGGATTCAGGCCAGCCATTCGCCATTAAGATCTTGGAGAAAAATAGAATTATTGACCTCAAGATCACCGACCAGGTCATTCCTTCTTGATTACACAATTTTTCCTTTTACTCAAAAAAGTTGATGAGTAGTTCTCTTTTTTGTTCTATGCATTCATCTGTGTTGTTGATTATCAGAATGTCAATTTGATGTTTAAAAAACTGGAAATAGAATGGGCGTTTCTGTGAATATCTGAATTGAAACTTACTGTTTTAATTTTGCATGTTAACTTCTGAAACCGAAAATTTCTGCTCCAACTCACTCGAAATGATTTTTAGACAGAAAAAGGAACTGACGGCGTGGAATTTTTTATTCAATCGTGCAGATTAAGAGAGAAATTGGAACCTTGAAACTCCTCAAGCATCCAAATGTTGTCAGATTACATGAGGTACGTGCATACGCGATCAATTTCGAAAGAACTAAAAGATGCTATTTCTGCTTCTTCTTTTTTCTTTTTCTCGATATATTTTTTCTGGAATACTTAGAGCTTATTATTACGAAAGGAATAAAAATGCTGAAGTACTCTTAATTTCACCTTTTCACTTTATGGATATGGATCTTTGCGTCCTCCGGAAGAATTCTTCCGGCTTTTCCCCGTATATATGTTGATGGAATTTCTCCAAAATCCAATAGAATCCTGATCCTTTGAAGGGTTGAGTGCAGAAGCCTTTTGAGTTTAAGCAACCCAAAACAATCACACTTTTTCTGTGATGATGTTTTAACTCGGTTTTTCACTGTTGATTTTACAACGAAAACTGCAGAGGTCCACAACAAGGTGGGGCTTAGTTCTTTGCTTCAATTTGTTAATCCGAGCAGATGCAATTCCGATTTCTGATCTTATCTAATTTATGATTAGTACCTTACTTTTTTTTAATAAGAATTAATGCCTTAATTAGTAGTTATATAATATGGTACACGTGGTTGGTGGTCCACCAATGATACAAGACTGAACAATTTTGGTTTCAAACACTGGCCCCTGATTTGTCATCTTGTGCTGCAGTTTACACAATTGGTAGACAAGTTTGAATGATAGACACGAGATAACATTGAAGTCACTCCAAAATACTGAATTGACATTACAGTTACTTATCACCATGTATGCTCTATGCATCCAAAGATTAACTTGTGGTGTAGTGGCTTTAATAATACCGACACCAGAAAATAATATCTCTGGCAGAGTTGATTCACGAATTTTTCCCTTCTTTGTCCTGTTTTCTCCATAGAGCTCCAGGACTGGGAGTATTTGAGTAGTAATTTACCGTGTGATCTGGCACACACAGTTTTACTTGCCTAATTAACCAAGTATAAAGCACCTAGCTTAGGGATGAAATTTCATTGCCAAATCAAAAGTTGCTCCTCCTCCATGAAAGCTACCACATATTCAAAAGACACTACGATGTTGCTCCCAGCCTCCAGATGAATTTGTATTTGGGTTTAAAATCAAGTTAAACAATGTTATTGGGTTAATTTCATAAAGATTGTTTCAATTTTTAAGTTGAAAAACATTCTGTATAATTTTCATCAGTTTTAGTATGAATCATTTTCTTCTCTAAACCTGTATAGACTGTTGACTTAAAAAAAGTCCAATATAGAAGTTTATTTTAAAATAGAGTACTTCACAAGCAGTAATCAGTTTGTCACTGTATATGAAATACAAATCAACCAACTGTGATAAATAATTTCACTAAAGATGTCAATGTTTTTAATCATTTATATGGCTCGGCTTCAATAGTGTTTCTTCTTATTAATGAACAACCAGGTCTTAGCAAGCAAAACCAAGATATACATGGTCCTCGAATACGTGAATGGTGGAGAGTTGTTTGATCATATTGTAAGTATATTTTGCAACATATACAAAGCAGTTGAACAGACCTGCTTGCAGAATGATCTCGGACTTGGATTTTGAAATTTAATGTTTCTTAATTGTAATGGTTTACAGTCATGTAAAGGAAAACTGTCGGAGGCTGAAGGCAGGAAGTTCTTCCAGCAGTTAGTTGATGGTGTTAGTTACTGCCATAATAGAGGTGTTTTTCATAGAGATCTCAAGGTAATAAAATGGCTTGATATATATATATATATATAT